GCCATCACACACGTCCTGGACATGCTCGAGCGCGTCTCCAACTACGTTAACAACGTGCTGGACGAGGAGGCCGAGCCATCCTCCGCGCTAGGCCAGTTCCTGATGAACGCACTCAGCCTGGCACCCAAGGTCGAGCCCGCCGACATTGAGCGCGACTTGTACGTCAGAATTATTCATACTTCCAGACATATGCTAACAATCACAGCAACGCACACATCCAAGACGTCCTCGTCGTATCATACCTCGCCAACACCATCCGCACACAAATCGACCTCTCGAACCGTCTCGCGACCGCGGCGCTCACCATGGGCGGCGGCGACCCTCTCGCGGGCGACGGCAAGAAGGACGGCGACAACAGGGGCAAGGGCGGCGACCGACGAGGCGGCGGCAAGGGCAGGCAACAAAGAGAGCAGGAGGCATGAATGGGATAAAAGGCACACTGCATGGAGTTTGGCGTTCTAGTGACATGCCACTGCTAACGCAGTAAGCGCGACATCGCGCGACATGACGCTCTGGGACTAGCGTTATCAGGAAGAAGTCGGGTTCGAGGTCAGACAATGGTCGCGAGGGCTGTGATGAGAGACAATGTGTGTTGGGAATTGGCCCCCCTCGTGAGCGAGCGAGCGAGCGAGCGAGTTAGAGTCTGTCCGAGAAGCGCTGTATAACTACTACATTATCCCTGCGGTAGCATTGACGGCATTCGGCCATATGCATGAAAAGTCACGAAATGAACAAGATCAAACACTACTTGTCGCTACGTACGTCTAACTAGGATGCACCATGGTAGAAGCACCATGATAGAAAAGCAGGTGCACCTTGGAAATGGACTCCAAGACATGACGCGGAAGAGCATGCACCTCGGAGTTAAGCTCCAAGATAAGAAGAAAGTGTGCACCGTGATGGAGACCACGATAGAGCAAAAGGAGAGTGCACCGTGATGAAGACCACGATAGAACGGAGTGCACCAGGCGTGAACCTGATAAAACGCGGAAGGAAAAGTGCACCGTGATAAAGATTACGATAGAACGGGGTGCACCAGATGTGAATCTGATAGAACGCGAAAAGAAAAGTGCACCGTGATGAAGACCACAATAGAACAGAGTGCACCGTGATGAAGACCACGATAGAACGCAAAAGGAAAGTGCACCAGGTGTGAATCTGATAAAACGCGAATTGTGCACCGTGATGAAGACCACGATACAACGCGAGAAGGAAAGTGCACCAGGTCGAGACCTGATAGAACGCGAAAACAGATTGCACCGCGATAAAGACCGCGATATGAAGCGAAAGTAAAGTGCACCGTAATAAAGACCACGATAGAACGCAGTAAAATCATGCTCGCCGCTGTCCACAGCCATACGAGCCGCTTGCCAATTCGGCGTCTGCCATAGGCCAATTCCTTCATTTCATTTGTCTGTCTGGGGGTTAGCTTTGCTGGGTTCAAGCATGGGCGCTGGGGTGTTGTACTTACTTCGAGGTTCAATAGCCGCGACGTAAGGCGGTTGCAATTGTTGTGTCGATTTGGGTCATGTCGATTTGGGTCATGTCGATTTGGGTCATGTCGATTTGGGTCATGTCGATTTGGGTCATGTCGATTTGGTTCATGTCGATTTGGTCCACTCAATTCGGTTCGCTTGATTTTGGTCATGTCGATTTGGTCCACTCAATTCGATTCATGTCGATTCGTATCATTCGATTTGGTTCAACCAATTCGGTTCGAGGATCATGGTCGAGTACGAGGTCGCGCATAGCTGCCGCAACATGCCATGGATGCTGACGTTTTCGCGACGCCTCCGATTCCGGTTTGTCATTTTGCGATTTCGATTGCGAGGCTTTCAATATGGACAATTCGTCGAGGTTGGTTCGCAATTCTGCCGCTTTGGATGCAAGGGCAGCGACGACGGCATCGTCTTGTTCATCTTCAACGATGTTAGCAGGGTGCTGAGAGCAGCTGTATGCATGATCGTGACTCACTTCCGACGCCGTTGCATCGCAATTACGATTACACAGTTCAATTGTCAACAGCAATTGAAACATTTGCGCTTTGACGAGGTCGTGGTGTCAACAATTCAGCGCCAGTAAGCCGGCAACAAGGCGGTCGAGCGCCTTGAATGTGCGCTCGTAGTCATTTTTTGCAATTGCAATGTTTCCAAGAGGTCATGACGAGTATGAGCGACGGCTCTGGCAATTTTCGATCCAAGGTGTGCCAGTGTTGTTTCGTGGTGATGTTGTTGAGGTGGTGATGGACTGACTAGGCAGCAGCGGAAGGGAGGCCCGACCACCCGCGCTGGCCAGTCACGTGCTAGTGCGTCATCGCTGGTACCACTTGAGCACCTCTGCCACACCACACCCACAACTGCCGCAAGTACTTAGCATCTACCAGCATCGCGCATCGGATAGATATCGAACTTGCCTACGATCATCCGCGCCATCGCTCAGGACTCATCGCCATGCCTTGTAAATATCCGAACACATCGCGAAGCGATCCCCCGTCGTGGCGCAGTCGTGGCAGTGAACTCCAGACCGTTCAGCCCAATGAAAGCGAGGCTGGCGCTCTTCCTGGTTCAACAACAGTACCCGGTAACGCTCTCTAATCCCTCATGGTAGGAGCTTGATTCTGGACTAGGCTACGAGATGTTGACCTCACCGCCCATTGTGGAGTTGCCTCAGGCAGACTTGGATCTCGTGTCGTCGTAATGGCTTTCGGTCCTGCTGGCACCGCGTGGTTTGCTGCGCCTGCTTCAAAGGCCCACCTGGAGAAGGTTAAGTTATAAGGATGTCTTGCATCTCTAGTCAGATCGACCAGCATGCTGGTATTCTGGTTACGTATCTTTGTTGCAATGTCACTTCGCAACACTCTCGTCGCCGACGACACCGCTTCTGCTTCGTCACAGGGCGTCGCGAGCCGAGCGAGCAACCTCAATGCCGTTCCCGATGACATTCACCACCTCATTCTCTCGAAGATCGCGGACACATCACCCACAGACCTACTGAATGTGGCACAATCTTCTGGAGTTTTGCACGATGCGGCGTTACCATACATATACCGCAACATCATCTTGAATGGAGAGTCGACGGCATACAAGGCACTCGTAGACAAGCTCTCCAAGGATGAGCACGATGACCTTACGAAGCACATTCGCACTATCACCGTCAAAGACGAGGTACCCTCTGCAGACCTGATTACGATACTCAACAAGACTTTGCAGCATAGGAATCTTCGATCACTCAAGTACGTTCCTTCAACCAATTCAAGATACTGAAACTGACTCTTGTAGTTGGGAGACTTCCACGCACATAACTCCGGCAGTATACGACATCATTCATGCGATTGAGCCGAAGCCCGAGATACGCGTTGTTGTCGTAGACCGGAAGACGGCAACGAGTGTTGCACATCGCCAGATGGACATGAAGCTCCTGTCATCTCCGCTTCTTGTTAGCTTGACCTACGAGGTATATATGCAGGGCTTCGCCCCCGAGCACCCTTGCCGATCCGAGTGGCCTCGACTCTCCCAGGCACTGGCGGCTGGCGGGAACGTTAGATCTCTTCGGCTACAAGTTTTGCAAGACGGTCACAACCTTTTTACACCCGATACGGAGCCAGCGAAGATACCGCGCCTTGATCTCACCACGGGTATGCGCCTCCCTCTACTGGAGGAGATGACTCTTCAGACCTTGAGATACCATGGCCAGACGGCGTATCTCTGGGATCTCGACTACTGTCGCATGTTTCGCGATGCTATCGACTGTTCCCGACTGCGTAAGCTCGACTTCGGCGGCGAACATCCCGAGAACTTCTTCACTTGCTTCACAGGACTTTGTCCGAAGCTCAAAGTGCTGAGCTTTGGGATGTGGGAAGGTGATAAAATGCCTGCAAGACGGTTCATTGAGTCGATTGATGCACTTGAACATCTCGATTTGTCACGAGCGCAAGCGGGTATAGACGATCTTTGGCCCGCTATTGAGCAGCACGAGGATACACTCGAGACACTGATTCTCGGGCCCACATTCGAAGCATACTGCCACAAGGTTGTCATGCCCTTCAGCCGTTTGAAGGACATCGCGCGGACATTCCCTAGGCTCAAGCATCTAGGCTGGGACGCACCCTGCGAACGCAACGTAAGCCACGCTCACTCGGACCAAATCATAGTCGCGCTGACCGTACCATTAGATCGATCCGCAACATCTCGTCGCCCTGGTAGGGATGAATCTTACGAAGCTTGATCTCTGGCTGCACATCCCACAGGAAGCAAACGACTACAGCGAAAAGCTCGTACAGGATATCTGGGGCAACATCCCCCACCCCGAACTCAACAAAGAGAGTACTATCGCATCTGCGACCGGTATTGCAGATCGTCTTTTGGGATCGGGACAAGGCGCGTTCAAGTGGCTTACTCTTCATCTCTCGCGCGAGGGGGCGTCGGATCGCTGCCAGCCGTATATGATGTACTCGAAGCTGCAACTCAGACTGAATGGGCGTTCCGAAAAGACGCGTGGAGACAAGTGGGATGTGCGCGGTAAGCTGGACTGGTCTTATGAACCCACTTTGATGGAAGATCTGCTGTTCGAGGAGAGGTAGGGGGATGGTGGTCAGTATGAGGAACAAGAGGGGTTTCTTCCTTGGATTTGAACCTTCATGCATTCTGCTCCCTTTCTCATCTTATGATCCTTCGGCATAGTAGGTGATGCTAGTCATGGTTGGCTCAGCGATCCACTCTATTTATTGGTACTGCGATGGCGCTGAACGAGCGATGAGCTACTCACGACACCTGCAATACATCACTATCGTATTCGCAGATGTACTCCTTAATTGTAAGAGATCGCAATTATCAGACTTATGGTTGGCTCGTCTCGCCTATAGGCTATTCATGAACCATGGAACAGCTGTAGGTGTCGCATATTTGGTAGCGAACGCCGCAGTTGTCTATCTCTTCGAAAAGCTTTGCACCCAAAATATTTGTCCTTTGTATCTGTCATTTCTCCTCATATCACTCGCTACGATGAACGAACATAGGCTGGAACAACAGACCGATGGACACGAGATGGTAGTCGTCGACCAGACGCCCACACGAGAGCAGGGTAAGGCTGCACGACGATTAGAAAGATTCGAAAGAAGGGTTATAAGAAACCGCATAGCCCACCTCGACCAAGCGCTCGCACGCGCTCGTGAGGACGCATACGCGGCACATTACCGCGCGGCCAATCTGAGCGCAAAAGTCGAAGAGGAACGGCCAACCCTCATCGAGGCCTTGCTTCCATACGAAAGGCGCAAAGCGGCAAGATCGAAACAAAGAGCCAGAACGCGTCACAAGGAGCTTCTGAACCGGTTCTTTCGCCTGCCTCGAGAGATCCGCGACTTAATATACCACCACGCCTGGAGCGGCACGATAATCCCCTTCTACCAAGAGCTAACCTGGAACTTCGCCGAACACGATAATATCCCCTGGGGCCCAGTTATGACAGCTGAGTATTCATCTACTGGTACATACAGGGCAAGTCTCATGTCGGTATGCGATCTTGTCCCACCAATGAACGGAGGCCCCTGCAAGGGGCTTAGACACGCGCAAGAGTACGCCTGGATTTGGACGAACCAGCAGATATTCTCAGAGTCTACGGCGCAGTTCTATCGCTACACCCAGTTCACATGGTCACCGCGGGCTGAGCGGCACTACTATCACATGTGCGCGCATATTGTCCCTAGGCGCAAATTGTACGAGTCAGCATACGCCTTCCCGAACATCCTCCTCGCACGCCGCGTGCTGCTCGATGTAGGATACGAAATATGCCTCGACGTCGTCAACCATGGTATATCGGCCTCACTTCTGGAACTGTTGGCTATGGCGAGAAAAGGTGAAGAGAAGAAGGCGCTGCAGGTGAGTTGGATAAGTAATATGGCGGACATGAAACTTTTTCAACTCAAGGATTTGGTGCCGGCTAGTACGCCTCACTCGATGGCTAGTAGAGCGTTTGAGGAGCTGGTGTTGAAGGATTTGGAGGGGGTGGGCTGGGAGATTGCGGTTGGTGAAGAGGAAGGGTAATTTGATGGTACGGCGGGGAGGGAGAGCGAGATTGGGTGGTTCATGTCGGTGCAACCTCAAAAGACGACACAAGCAGATGTGCTCACGAAGGGAATACATCGCAGGTATGTAATGCCGATCATTGATGACGGTGATATAGTGGGTATGCCTTCTGCTTCATGAGAGCGCAATGAACATGTATTGCTAGTGCGGTAGCAATCTGCTATAGGCAGACGTATTCTTCGCTTGGAGTTGATGTTGATAGCGAAGGCGCAGCAAAGGACGCAACAGCTTGGACGCACGCAGTGGTGTTTAACAGGGGATGGACGAAAGATAAGTAGTAGTAGTCTGTATGTAAGGGTATTGTTGTCAGGGCGCCTACTGTAATAGCCGTATATAGTATAACATTTCTACCTTACATTAGCCACCTCCCTTTCCTACCGACCTACGAAACCACGGAGCTTTCTTCTCGGCTGAAGTTCTGGCGCGCATCGTTATTGATGATCCAGGAACAACCATGCTATCCCACAACCCCGTTAGGATGATGACGTCGTCACCTCTAACAAGGTCGTACTCTCCGCTGTGCATTAGCTTGTAGACCTCTTGTGATCCAGCACAGATCTTATCGAGGAATTCCCTCATCCCCTGCATTAATTAGACCAAGTAGCTCTACGAAGCTTGGAATATTACTTACCTCCCACGTGCTACACAAACGCCAGGGGCCTTCGAACTTACGACCAACGGGGTCATGGAAGATAATGGGCGCACTCGTCTTTGGTGCAAGTATCTTTGCTTTCTCTAATTCTTGCGCCGCTTCTTTCGCGTCCTGTAGGGCTCTCGCATGAGCGGCTTCTATAGACTTCTGCTCCTCTGCTGCCTTCTCTTCAGCCGCCTCTCTTGCCCTTTGCGCAGCCTCTAACATGAGCTTTGCTTTCTCACTCGCTGCTTTCTTCTCCTCAGCTATCCTTGCATCTTTCATATCGGCTGCTTGTCGCTCTACATAGCGTGCCGCATCCGCAGCAGCTTCCCTCTTGAGCTGCTCATCTTTCTGAATTAAAATCAATCTTTCAAGATTCGCCAGTCTGTCAACTTCATAGCTGCGACTACGCGGATTGCGTTCCTGTTGATTGCCATAACGCGCCGTCTCTTCGTCCTTATACCTAGAGGGTTTCTGCCGGCGAGCTCCCGCATTTATTGTCGAGCGGTCGGCCTTCCTCGCCGTTGATCGAGATTCACGCTTAGGGGGGGTTGACTCTTCAGGTGCAGCCTTGCGTTGTCGTGGTACATCGTCGCGTAGCGGACTTGGGGTTTCACACTCGGAAGATGTTTCTGCATTTGCGCCGGTATCAGACGAGGACGATTCACCTTCGCTTGCAGTATAGTGCATTATTCCTCGACGATGTGGAAGAGATCTGTATCGACGTGGTGGAAGAGATCTTTCTCGATGTGGTAGAAGAGGTCTGTCTCGATCCGGTGGAGGAGAGCTATCTCGGCCTGGTGGAAGAGATCTCTCTCTTATGGGCGGCGATCGGGTCGAGGGGGGCGAATTGCGGTACTCTTCTGTTGCTAGGCGAGGCTCTGGAGAACTGTAGAGCTCGGAATGGCTTACGGGGGTAACGACATCACTAGCTGAGTCTGTGCGCTTGTGTACAGAGGAGCTCTCGGAGGCATCCCAGTCCCATGCCGCTTTTCGGCTAGGATAATCCAGCACATCTTTGGCTAACGCGCTAGACATCTGCTGCATTTCGATTGCTTGCGTGAAATCGCGGAAGATTTGGAGGGCGAACTCATCGTGCTCAAAGTCTGGATTTGTGACAAGTGTTGCGTCGTGTACTGCTAGGCTGCGCTTGTCCAGAGGCCCCGACCTAGACACAATTAGCGCCCCCCCAGCACCTTGTGCCGCGTCTTCAATTTCCGTTGCAGCGCTGGAATCCACAGTGGGCGTGAAAGATGAATCCTCGTCTTGCTGAACAGTCGTGTGATAGCGCAGACACTCGGTAGCGTGTTCCGCAAATTTGATGTTGCTCTCAACCTGTATTTTCAGATTTTCGCTACCGCCAAGTTAACAAACATGCTATGGCAACGGTCCTTTTCAACTTACCTTATAGATTCGGGGGCATTCCGCTCCAGCACGACGGCTAAGTTCATCGTGGAGACAAGGACGATGATAGTGGTTTTGAAAGAGTCGATCAGGCTCTTGACAAACATGACCTTAGGCCCGACTTTCATCCACCTGAAACGGAATCGTACCATCGATATGGTGAAAGCGCGTCTTGCAGGGTTGTGCTGAACCGGCTCTCCGATGAGCATCTTTAAATCCTCTATGAGTGTTTTGCATGCAGCGATCAAGACGACAGTAATTTCGCGAAGCTTTTCCGTCTTGATGTTTGGGGTGTCCACAACCATACTCAACTGTGTTAGAGAGCTTGAGAATACATTGATGTCTGCAGCAATGAGCCTAGCTTCGTACTCTGCGGATTTGATGACATTAGCGACGTCGAGCAGCGTCCTGGCTAGCTGCGCACTCGCACCTGCCAGGGTGATGAGAGATGCTACCAGACCGATGACCTCTGCCATAGCGATACAGCTCTGTTTCCGGTACCAGAACCAGCGTCAGAAGTATAGATATCGGGTACTGCTCAGTGTGGGTGGTAAAGGTTGTGGAGATCAGTCAGGCTGCGGGGATTGTTCGCAACATGTAACAGCTCTTAAGCCTGATCATGAAAGCCTCTTGTCGCTCTCCTGCCGCTTCGCCCCCAAGGCTGAGATATGTACGTTGAGTCTATTGGGTGTGACAGGTCGCATGCAGCGCGCATGTAGGTGCCCCGCACCGGTAAGCATCTTCGTGACAGAGAGTACTCAGCCTTGCTGTATCACCTGCACCCGCATAATCGAAGCGAGGCAGAAACTCAGGGTTGATTATGTTATCGGTGACGGATGAGCTTGATGTGGAGGCGGAGTGGAGATGCGGCGGAAATGTGGCGGCGTGCGGTGGTGCGGTGGCGCGGAGCAAGCAACTCGCGACTTCCAAAATCCATGTCACATCCACAAGCAGAATATGCAAGGAAGATGCACTGCAGTGAACACATATAATGACCGAATTGGCGCAGACAAGCGAATCTCTCGCTCTACCCACTCTCCACATCCGCAGCCTTCGCCTCAACCTTAATCTCGGGCCCCTCAATCCTCTTAACCTTCCTCCCCTCCCACCAACTCATAATCCCCGCAAACATCGCAACCCCACACCCCAACGCAATAAACGTGCCCGTCGCCCAAGTCGGGCGGTCCAACCGATTATAATGCCACATAAAAAAGCACAACACAGCCTGCAACAGCGTATTCAAAACCATCATATCCACCGTAAAAGCCAGTTTCCACATACTAGTCGGCGGCGCCCTCTCCCCCGTGAAAGTCTGCGGCATCAACTCCTCCTCGCCCCTCCACCCCTCATTCTCCGTAAACCAGCTCGGCGGCCGGAACCAAGCTTTATTCTGGTTCCAGAGCCGGCGCATGGCGTTTGAGTCGTGCAAGTGGACGGCGCGGAGCATCCAGTAGAAGTCGCGGAAGCGCCAGGGTGCGAGGCCAAAGCCCGTGACGCAGAAGAGGGCGTTGAGGATCTGGCTGTCGATTTCGAGCCAGATCTTGCGGGAGCTGTAGTCGTCGTTGCAGCTGGGGTGGCACATGGCAGGCGCGGCGTTGAGGAGAAGGAAGAAGAGCATTGCGCCCCAGGCCTTGGGGTTGTTAGTTAGTGCAAAGAGGGATTAGTGGGGCGGGTGCATACGTACGACGATATTGAGACCGTAGATGGTGATTAGGAAGCCGGAGGGGGTGAGGAAGAAGACCCAGAAGGCTTTGAGACCGTGCTTGATGGTAGGGCCCCATGGCTCCTTGTCCGCAGACGCGTGCTTCTCCTTCAAGGTCCGTCGACGATGGAGTCCATGTCCATGAGGCCTGCGCGACTTCTTCCCAGTCTTCTCGTCCACCTCTCCCGGCACAATCGCGTCTGTGGCTGGCTGGTCAAGGATCCGAGTCTGGGATTTGACCAAGGTGAGCTCTCCGTCTTCGTCTGGAACCGCAACTCGTGTGGCATGGCCATGCGCATCGAACGTGATGTTTGACCCTCCAGACTCTGGCTCTCGCAACTCTGTCAAGTTGGGTGCTTGAGCCATTGCCGTCGCAGTGGCCTGCCACATGCCCAGCTGCGGTGTCGTGTGCAGCAACGACAGCGACATGCCGCGCGCCCGCCCAATGATGCCCTTCTCTTGCTCGTCGGCCATGGCTGGAATTGTATGCGCAGCCGTCGTCGTATGCGATGAAAATCCGGCGGACGTCCAAGTCGAGGTTAATGATGGAGTGAGTGCTTTTGCTTCACATGTCACTGAACCAGCGCTCGGTGTCACGCCGTTGAGCTACTCGGGAGTAGAGACGGTGACGCCTATGTATGCAGCCCTCGGTCCAACTGTGATAGGCGTAACAACACGGACGATCATGGCGCCGCCACGCGAAGTCCTGAGATTCCGGTCCAGACTATCGAGATAGACACGGCCGAGCACAATCTGTTCGTGCGAAAGTTCGTTGGGCGCGGATGATCGGCGGCGCGGCATGGGCAACACGCCGTGGATTGGCCCGCTTCGCCGCAGAAGATCCGCGGCCTGCAGATTGCGAGCCGATCGAGTAAGAGGTGTAAGCGTGCGCTAGAGGCAACCCGGAAAGACTGATTACTCGTACCAAGACCAACAGTTGAAGCATGTTGATGCCCGTCATTCGTCTGATCTCCCGCAGTGTTCCTATAATCCATCGGGAGCCCGATGTAGCTTCCGCGTGCAGCCGGTATCGCAATGCCTCTCAACTTCAGCTCCAGACAGAAGCGCGGCGAGTACCATGACGGGAAAGCGCAAAGTACCGGAAGAGTCAACACGTTCGGCCAGGTCGCTATACAATTCCACAGGAACACGACGCATCTGAAATACTGGTTCGACAAGCTTCAGAAAGATTCCGCGGCATGCCGACCGCCGGGATGCGCAAAACCGAGGAGAGGCAGCACGACTCTGGTGGATGAGTTCATCAGCGACAAGACCAGCAGTATCGGCGCACCGCGACTGAACATAGCGATACATATCTGCGGGTCTCGCGGCGATGTGCAGCCTTTCATTCCGATTGCAAAGCTGCTTCAGGCTGCGCCACATCACCATCGAGTGCGCATCTGCACGCATCCCGCCTTCAAGGACTTTGTGGAAAGCAATGGAGTGGAGTTCTTTTCCATCGGAGGCGACCCCGAAGCACTCATGGCGTACATGGTGAAGAACCCAGGGCTGATTCCAAACATGCAGTCCATCAAAGCCGGTGACATTGGCAAGCGACGAAAAGAGATGGCCGAGATGATGGAGGGGACCTGGAGAAGTTGCATCGAGGCGGGCGATGGCATGGGCGAGAGAGTCTCAGCATTGGACGTAGACGCGCCTGAGGATTTGTTCATCGCAGATTGCATCATTGCGAACCCGCCGTCCATGGGCCACATCCACTGCGCGGAGAAGCTTGGCATTCCGCTGCACATGGTCTTCACCATGCCGTGGTCGCCAACAAAGGCCTTCCACCACCCGCTGGCAGCCATGGAGTATGGCGAAGTTGAGAGGTCTGTCGCGAACTACTTCAGCTTCGGCATCATGGAGCTGCTCACTTGGCAGGGCCTAGGCGATGTCATCAACAAGTTCAGGACGCAGACCTTGCACCTAGACGCTATTAGCCCGCTCTGGGGTCACCTCTTGCTTTCGAGACTTCGCGTCCCATATAGCTACCTATGGTCACAGGCTTTGATCCCGCGACCAAATGACTGGGACTCACACATCAGCATTACCGGTTTCTCGTTCCTGGATGCCGGGTCGAACTACACACCGCCGGACGACTTGGCTGAGTTTCTTGCGAAAGGTCCTCCTCCGGTGTACATCGGCTTTGGCAGCATAGTGGTAGATGATCCAGTGGCTCTCACCAAACTCATCTTTGCCGCCGTGAAGCTAGCAAAAGTCAGAGCGATAGTCTCCAAGGGCTGGGGCGGCGTGGGTGCGGGTGATGTGCCGGATGATGTGTATCTCATTGGCAATTGTCCGCACGATTGGCTCTTCCAACGGGTTTCGTGTGTGGTCCATCACGGAGGTGCGGGTACAACGGCTGCTGGTATTGCCTTGGGTAGGCCTACGGTTGTTGTGCCCTTCTTCGGTGACCAACCCTTCTGGGGACAGGTAAGTCAGCGTTGAGACACGACTGAGCCGACCTAACAATACGATAGATGATCGCAAAGGCTGGAGCTGGTCCAATGCCCGTCCCGTTCAAGCAGATGACTGCCGAGAGCCTTGCGACAAGCATTACCTTTGCGCTGCAAGATTCTGTCAAAGTCGCAGTTCAGAAGATGGCAGAAAGTATTGCAGAGGAAGATGGTGCCGGAGATACTGTACGCGACTTTCAGCAAAAGCTGGGCATCGATGGAATGCGATGCCATATCTGTCCGGATCGCCTCGCTATATGGCGTGACAAAGAGACTGGCGCACATTTGAGTGGTTTCGCAGCCTCCGTGCTTGTCCAAGAAAGACTGTTAGATCTGAAGCATCTGCGTTTGCTGCAACATCGGCATTACTATACCCATGAAGGCGCTGAAGGTCCATTAACCGGTGTTGTCGCTGTTTTCGGAGGGCTCATGGCTTCTCTAGGCACAGATACAGCTGAGTTCTCGCAACGACTGAAGAAAAGACCTCGCGAGACTGACGCCGACGTCGAAGCCTTGAGGAGAGTGCCGACCGTCGATGAGCCTGACCTGGAAAAAGGCATTACGTCCAAACACTTCCATCACCTGGCGTACAGAATGGCGGCCAAGTCATGCGATGACGACTACACGCACAATTTCGAGAAGCCGCAGAACCGCCCGGGCATCTCAGCTCTTCGCGAGAAGATTGCTGCGAGGAGAGCAAGAGGAGGCCGTGGCTACCAAATCACAAGCGCTACCGCGCATTACGTTGGTGATCTCGCGGCTACAGGAGCCAAAACCCCAGTCGCCTTCTTCTACAACATCGCCAACGGCTTCCGGAACTTACCCTCATACGCAATCCACAACGACCCCGCGCGACAAAGAGACGAAATAACCGGTTTCGGCAGCGGCTGCAAGCTCGCCGGCAAAGAATTCGTGCTCGGCCTCAGCGACGCACTCGTAGGCATCGTCCGCCACCCCTATCTCGGCGCGAAACAAGAAGGCGCCATGGGCTTTGGCAAAGGAATTGGGCGAGGTCTAGCTGGGCTATATCTCCATTTGGGAGCCGGTAAGTTCGGGTTCCGAATATTCCGCTTATCCGCTTATCTAACGACTGTCAGCGGTATTTGGCCTGCCAGGATACTTCTTGAAAGGCGTCGAGAGGGGCCTCTTGGCTCGGCATCTCACTGCGCTGCAGGCGGAGATTTTCTTCATACAGCTGCGCCGATCTGCTGTCGCGTTTCGTAGTGCGAGCGATGCTGAGAAGGCGGCGGTGGTGAAGAAATGGGCGGAAGTGAAATCAAGCATAGACAGGCATTAGCGAGGAAGTTTTCCGTAGGGCTGGTGGCCTCGTCTGCAAGGCACCCGACGATGGATGCGGAGCGTTGTTGTTGGTGCAAGGAATAGCCGGTGGCAGCCTAGGCCGCTACGCCCCGTTGGTTTTCGCTTCAGCGCGGTGAGCGCTAGCCAGGTAGCACCGCGCGACCACCGATATGGCTACGATTGCGACGGGCTACAAAAGCGATTGCCAGGCCGTTGCGAAACGTGACATCAATATACCCCTATCCTCTTTATTCTTGTTTGACTTTGAGATGTTTTACGCCCCGTGGTGATCGCTAGCAACGTAGCGACAAGCTCTAGACTTCTACGCTCTCATTGTGCTGCAGCGACGGGACGTCTTCCCAAGGCAACCGTACGATGGACTCAATAGACCTGAAGCGCGCAGCATGGCAGGTCGCGCTATCTGCAGCGACAGCTGCGATTGGTGTTTTCATGTTCAAATTGGTGAAAATGCGCATGATCTTCTACAGGCTCAAAAAGCAGGGCATGGTACGCAGCCCTCTCCAAACACACCACAACCCAATGAGCTAACATTCCCATCCTCAAAGCCAGTTCCGGCATGGAACTTCGCAGTCGGAAATCTCACAGTATTACCAGACCTCCTCAAGCAATTTCCCGAAGGCTCGCAGCAATCCGATGCTTTTACTCTGCTCGCAAACGACTTCCCAGACTCGGACAACTGCTTCTACGTCGATCTCTGGCCGTTCACTAGTCCGCTCATGATAGTCACGTCGCCCGAGATGGCGATGCAGGCCTGTCAAGAATACGACCTGCCCAAGCCGCCCATTTTGATTCCGTTCTTTGCGCCGTTCGCGGGCGGCGCGAATCTTTTCGACATGAATGGCGCGGAGTGGAAGAGGTCGAGGGCGCTGTTTAACCCGGGTTTTAGTGATAGGGTTATGATGGAGAGCACGCCGCATATTATTGAGGAAGCTGAGGTCTACGTGGGGTTGCTGCGAGAGCATGCGAAGAAAGGGGATACGTTTTCTTTGGATCGATTGACGTGTGATTATATGATGGATCTCATCGGCGTCATCACCATGTAAGCATGACATCAGATTATCACGTGTGTCTCAAGTACTAACACAACCAGCAACGCACGCCTCCACTCCATGACCAGCCACAACGCCCTCGCAGCAGCGATGCGAAGCTCCATAGAATGGAATTGCCGGGACCAGGAGATGAATCCGTTCAAGCGCTGGAACCCGTACCGCCCCTGGATCGAATGGCGAAACGGCAAAACGATGGATCGCTACATCAGCACGGAGCTCGACAAGCGCTATGAAGATTGGCGTAGCAACAAGCCGTCCACCCGCGCCAAGTCTGTCATGGATATCACGATAGCCGCGTACATGGGCGAGCGCAAAGGAGCGGCCAAGCTGGACCCTGAGTTCAAGCGGTGGGCGACGGTTCAGATTCGGCTCTTCCTGTTCGCTGGACACGATTCGACGGCCGCTACCATCGTATACAGTCTCTACATGCTATCCAAACACCCAGAAGCCCTGGCCAAAGCCCGCGCAGAGCTCGACGAAGTCTTTGGCGCGGGCAACGACACAGCCGCCGGTGTGCTCAAGCAGCATCCAGAGCAGATCAACAAGCTGCCTTACATGAACGCCGTAGTCAAGGAGACTCTCCGCCTCTTCCCACCCGCTTCAGGCATGCGAGGCGGTCTCCCAGGCGTCTTCCTCCGCGACAAAAATGGAAACAAATACCCCACCCAAGACATCAACATCTGGGTCGTCCACGGCGCAATCCAGCGTAACCCGCACTACTGGCCCGAGCCTCACGCCTTTTTACCCGAGCGCTGGCTCGTCGAGCCTGGCCATGCTTTGTATCCGCCAAAGGGAGGATGGCGGCCTTTTGAATTTGGGCCGAGGAATTGCGTTGGCCAAACGCTGGCGATGCTGGATATTAAGATTACGCTGGCTATGACGGTCCGCGAGTTTGATGTGAAGGATATGTATGAGGAGTGGGATCGAAGGTATCCGTCAAAGGGGATTAAAGAGGTGTTTGGCGAGAGGGCGTATCAGGTGCCGCAGGGGGCGGCGCATCCGGTGGATGGGTTTCCTTGTAAGGTGAGTATGCGGGAGTCGTAGTGTAATGTAATGTATTAGCATTTGAGCGCGGAGAGGTGGCTCGAAGTCGTTGTAGAAGACGTCGCATCATGCGCATCTTAATCATTCTGAATGAACTAAGCATATGAGAGCTCATTCAACCCTATGCGATAGGCGATGCTGGACGGCGTTCGAGGTGCAGCGCTGTGTAGCCGTGGTGAGCAGCGGTTGTTCCGCCAACGCCATGTTTAGTGCGCGCGGCAATCTTTCCGATTTCCGAGCGTGCACCCTGGGCGGGCTGCAACTTTGTATACTAGCACCACCAGCACCAGCACCGCCAACTGCACCGCTACGCATTGATACGACTGATACGCTTTCCGACACGTATATATCCAATTCACCTCTTGATTCCTTACGTGACGACCTCATTGGCCAGCTGCCTCCCTCGCACCGACCCTCACGCAACGCCGTCACCTCACCGCACATGCGATAGTCACCGTCACACCACGCCCCAATCGAGATGCTAGGCTTCCGTCCGCTATCCGTGGGCAAGCGGAAAGCCAAGTCGTACAACCAGGCGGCGACCCACGAGCGCGATGTCGAGGACGGCGAAGTCAACGAGAAGGGCTACCAAAGCGACGACTACGAAGCCTACATGTCCTCGGGCACAACCAGCCCATCCTCATCCCGGGAATCCTCGGGCGCATACGACCCGAACCCGAACAACATCGAATCGCGACCGCTGCGACGGTCCTCCAAATCCCACCGGAGAGCCCCTTCGAAAGCCACCGTCAGCGCATACAGCTACCGGAATCCGCGGGCATGCACAAGATACTTTGGGCTGGCCGTGGCGAGTACGCTGCTCTTCTTCATGTACTTCCTCTTCAGCAGCAGCTGGGCCTCGATACGGAATGCAGAGCTCGGCCTGAACAAGCCGCCGCCGCCGCCCAACGTCTGGGAGAGCTTCCCGTTCCTGAAGCGCTACCACGGCGGCGTGCGGTCGCTGGTGAGCCGGGAGATGAACGTGCCGGAATACCCCACCAAGCAGGACATTGACCCTGAGCTGCCCGCCGAGGAGCCCAAGAGCGACGTCGATAAGCGACAGTCGCAGGGCGCACACATTGCCGAATCAATACCGTTCGACCCGTATCCAGACTACAGCGGCGTCAATTACGTGGACACATACGGGCCGGTCGAGACGTGCTATCTCGATGCGAACGACACCATCAAGGTGCCAGGGCTGCGGGCATACAAGGGCGTGCCCCAGGGTATGCCGGATAACGTCATTGGGAGCTACGAGACACTGGGTCTGAGGGACGATGTCTGCTTTGAGCGCTTCGGACGGCTCGGTCCGTATGGCCTCGGCTACAGCAAGCGGCGCGGTGGGACGGGCGCCGGCATGGAGGGCGACCGCGAAGGCATCGAGGACGTGTGGAAGGTGGACGCCGAGGTGGACTTCCGCGACGTCAGCTGGGCGGAGGCAATCGACCGCTGCCTGGAGAAGAACAAGGGCCGCTTCCAGAAGCAACCCAAGTCCCGGACAGACTCGTTTACCATGCAGAAACGCGACGTGGAGGACGCCCCCGCAAACGGCACCGTGCTACAACCGAAGGCGGCGCACAACACCCTTCTCCCCAGGACCGCAGTCGTCGTCCGAACATGGGACGACTACAACTACGACGACGAAGACATTATGTACCTGCGCGCACTCGTCTCTGAGTTGAGCCTCGCGTCCGGTGGCGAATACGAAGTCCACTTCCTGATCCAAGTCCACGATGACAACAAGCAGATCTGGGCCGACGAGGCGATCCACCAGGAAGTACTTAAGAACGCGCTACCTGCTGAGTTCGCCGGCATGGGCACGCTCTGGTCGGAACGTCAGATGGGCTTGATCTACGGCGGCCTAGAGGAGTCCAACTACCGCGGGCTGCCTGTACACGGCGTCTACCGGTCCACCTTCATGCCCGTCACGTACTTTGCACACCAGCACCCCGAGTTCGACTTCTTCTGGCACTGGGAGATGGACGTGCGGTATACTGGCCACCACTACCACCTCTTCGAACAAGTCTCCAAATGGACGACTGCCCAGCCGCGCAAAGGGCTGTGGGAGCGCGACGCCCGTTTCTACGTCCCATCAGTCCACGGCACTTGGGAAGAGTTCAAGCAGATGGTGCACTGGCAGACCCAACACGGCACAAACAACCAAGCAAACAAATGGTCATCACACCTCCCACCCAACCCCCACGTCCCTCTCGCCGAAATGCAGAAGCCCGAGAAGCCAGTCTGGGGGCCAGAACTCCCGCAAGACTACCCCGACATCGAAATCGACGACAACGTAAAACCCAACACAACCATCACAGAAGACAAGTACGAGTGGGGCGTTGGCGAACCCGCCGACCTCATCGTCTTCAACCCCCTCTTCGACCCCGACCACACTAACTGGATCCTCGCCGACGACGTCACAGGTTATGATAAGAAGAACGGTCTTCCTCCGCGCCGCACCGCCATCAACACCTCTGGTCGCCTTTCCCGCCGCCTCCTCGAAACTATGCACCGCGAACAATCCCTTCATCGCCACACTATGTTCTCCGAAATGTGGCCCGCATCCTGCGCCCTGCACCACGGTCTCAAAGCCGTTTACGCCCCGCACCCGGTGTTCATCGACCGCAAATGGCCAACCCAGTACCTCGCCGCTATCTTCAACAACGGCCGTAATGGCGCGAGTGGCGGTGCGCGCATGTCTGTTTTTTCGGATGAGCGTCAACATAATTTTTTGGGTACGACGTGGTACTATCATGCTGGCTTTGCGCCGAATCTTTGGAAGAGATGGATGGGGTATAAAGTTGATAATGATGGTGGTGAGGAATACGAGGTTGCGGGAGAGGGGAGGATGTGCCTTCCGGCTGTGTTGTTGCATCCGGTTAAGCAGGTTGATTTGGTGCAGGAGAAGGAGAGGGTTGAGGAGGGTGAGACGGGGGTGTGATCTTCTTCTGAAAGGCGGAATGATGACTACGCTGCGCTGTTGCGAAGCTTGGTATAGCAAGGCGTTGGTGTTCGACTTCACGGGCGTATGGAGTGTTAATAGCGTTTGATTCTTGTTGTATATGACTAGAGACGATCTCAAACCCATTCATGTTGGATATGGATATATGAACAGTTATCTAGGGGCTCTTCTTATGTAGCCTTGCTTTTGTACATCTATCGAGGGTACCCTTCCATTCACCCTTGAGTCTGCTTCCTGTCCTACTCTTTGCATGCTTAATGGCTTCGCCGCGATCCCGAAACCTTGCGAGTGGGTAGTGGAGACGGAAGGGTCGTGATGAATGTCTCCTCTCTCCCTCCACGTCGCTCTTCAGCCTTCTTCCCACCATCACCTCCCCACATCAATAACTCCTCGGCAACCCCAAAACCTTCTCCCCAATATAATTCAACACCATCTCCCTACTCACCGGCGCAATCCTCGGCACAAAGCACTCCCTCAAAAACCGCTCCACATCATACTCAGCCGCATACCCCATCCCCCCATGCGCCAGCACCGCCCTCTCACACGCCGCAAACGCCGCCTCACCCGCAAGATACTTTGCGCTATTCGCCGCGACCCCAATCGCATCCTGCCTAATACCCGCATCCGTCTTACTCGCATCATACAGCCGCGCCGCATGGTACGTCACATGTTTCGCGGCTTCGAGCTGCATGTACGCGTCCGCGAGGGGGTGTGATATGCCTTGGTTCATGCCGATAGGCCGCTGGAAGACGTGGCGTGAGTTAGCGTACGCGGATGCTTTTGTGAGGGCCGCGTAGCCTAATCCGAGGGCTTCGCCTGCGAGCAGACACCGTTCTGCGTTCATGCCCCCGAGGATGATTTTGAAGCCTTCGCCTTCGCGGCCGACGAGGCATGAAGATGGGATATGGTAGTTGTCGAAGAAGACTTCGTTTGCGTCGACGGCGCGCCCGCCCATCTTTTTGATGCGTCGCATGTCCAGGCCAGGCGCTGACCGATCAAGCGGAATGCAAAATAGACTCAGCGCTTTACTAGGTTTCTCCGCTTCTTCCCGTGGTGTCGTGCGTGCGAGTAGGATCATACGAGACGCGACTTGCGCACATGTTATCCATATCTTCTGGCCTGTTATGCTATACCCCTTCCCATCCTCATCTTTCTTCGCAAACGTACTCAGTCGCAGCGTATCCAACCCCGAATCCGGTTCCGTAACCCCAAAGCACGTTCGCCACTCCCCTGATATTATCCTCGGTATCGTTACCTGTAACTGCTCTTCACTCCCATACTTAGCCAGCGGCTGCGTCGCATACACATTCGCATGGATCGCCTGCGCGCCCGCGATGCCAGCGCCAGACTCGGCAATCGTCTGCATCATCATCGTTGCTTCTGCGATACCCAGGCCAGAACCGCCGTATGCTTCTGGTAAAGCGATGCCGAGCCACCCGTCTTTCGCCAGCGCGGCGTGGAAATCTGAGGGGTCGCTGCTGGTGTCGTCGCGGTCGCGCCAGTAGCTGTTGGGGAAGCGGGAGCAGAGTGCGAAGATGGCGTCGCGGATTTCGAGTTGGGTGGAAGTGAAGCCGGTTGTTTCCATGATGTTGTGGCGGGGGGAGGTGCTGAAGCGGCATCTTGGGGGGTGGATGCGGAGGCGTAGAGCGTTGCGTGCTGGGCGCGACATGCGCAGAGTGCGCGCTGCCGCTGGGGAGAGCATTGTCGGCGTGAGTGGTGGTTACATCGGTGCTGTTGTTGCGTTTACGGCTGTCGCATAACGTTGGTTGTTAACGCGCGAAGTAGCCGACTTGCGATATAGCCGCAGGTAGAGTCGAGAGGCGTAAAGCCGAGGTAAAGTGCTAGAACACAAATTACAATACTCTACCTAAGAGAACGTCTTAGAGCTACTAGACTAACTCTATTAGAATTCTAACTTTAGTATCTAAAAACTATTAAAATTAGTTAAAGTGTTTTTTTTATACTAGACTTAGAGTAGTATAGTATATACTAAAAGTGTAATAGACTATACCTAGAAAGGTTTTTAGTTAGAAACTTTAGAAACTTAGTTTAGTTTTAGCTAAGCTTAGAAAACTTTTCTAAAGTATATAGCTACTTAAAAAGTTTTTTTTTCTAAAGCTATTAAATTTATTTTTTATTTTTTAGTATCTACTTTTAAAGTTAGTCTTTTATAATTAAATTTAATTAATACTTTAAAAAAGTTTATAAAAACTTTTTTATTATAGATATAACTTTATATACTTTAGTAGAAAATATAACTTAGTATACTATTACTTTAGTAAAGTAAAGCTATAGCTAAAAGTATATTACTTAGTAACTCTAGTTTATATTAGATATAGAGATAGATACTAATAAGAAATAAACTAAACTTTAGCTAGTTAAGAAAATACTAAAGTTATAAACTAAATAGATATTAGTTTTTTTTTTTTAAATATATCTAATACTAACTAATCTATTAAGAATAATACTACCTTTTCTAAACTAACTATAGAACTAGTAATTATCTAAAAAATACTAAATCTTCTTTACTATAAAATTATATAACTTAAAGATAATATATAGTTTATACTTTTTTTTTCTTTTCTACTCTAACTAAAATATATACTATAAAAGCTAAGTAAGCTAAAGCTAAACTTTTTAGACTATAAAATACCTAAGCTAACTTATTATAATTTATTAAAATTCTAGATCTTTACTTCTTTACTAGAAACTAAAGTAACTAGTAAAAATTTAAGCTTTAGATAGTAAATAAGCTATAATAAAAAAAAAAAAAACTAGAAAGTTAACTAAAGTATATCTTTTCTAAGTTAATAAATAAAGTAGTAAGTATTATACTATCTTAGATAAGTTATTTTAAGAAATCTAGTAACGTAAATATATTTTAAAAGTTTCTAAACTAGTGTACTAGTGTATAAAGTGTTCTTATATAAATTAAATCTTTAATAACCTAAGAATTATCTAAAGAAAGAACATTTTTTAATAAGAGCTTTTAGAGATTATTTTTTTATCTACTATTTTATCTTTTTACTTATACTTTTTAGTATTAGACTTTTATATAATACTTTAGATAATAGAATCTTTCTATAATAGAACTCTTTTCTACTAAACTAATATTTATATACTTTCTTATCTATACTAATTACTTTATATTCTTATAGTAATATATCTTTATACTTTCTAATATCTATATAAATAGTAAAGTCTATAGAAATATATTCTACTATATAGTATATAAAGTAGTTAGTATACGTTAATATAATATATATAGTAATAATAACTATAATAAATATAATAAGTATAGACTTAGCTCTTTTCTTTAAGTTAGCTAAAACTATAATAGTAGTTATATTTAGGCTAACTACGTTCTTACTACTAAGTAATATTAGATAAGATAATTACGTAGATAAGGTAACTACTTAGAAATACTAGAAAATAGTAATTTAACTAATATCTAGAATAGTAATATTAGAAGTATAATAAAATGCTAGGCTAACTAAGTTAATAGAATACTATAATAGTATATTTAGAATATACACTAGTATAGAACTATAGTTTAATAGAACTAATAACTTAATAGAGTATTATAGTAAGTAAAACGCTAAGCTATACTAACTATAAAGGTATTTTAGAAAGTATTCTCTACTATTAGGTAAAGAGTATTAAATACTATTAAGTATTTAGAACTTATCTTTTAATTATATAATTTCTATAGTATAATATCTATTTAGTATTTAAGCTATTAAGTAAAGAAGTATTAGCTTCTTTATAAGTTATTTAGAACTATAATAACTACTAAAAGAATAGAAAAAGTATAAAGTATTAAGAAATCTAGTAATTCTTTCTTCTAAGTATTTATCTACTACTTCTTTAACTACTTTAACACTAAAGACACTAACCTCTAGAACTATTTCTAAAGTAAAGAGTATATTATTATTTATAATAGTAACTAATAGTATAGTTTCTATAGTTTACTCTAGATACGCTACTCTAGTCTTTACTAGTAATAATATTACTAAGTTTTTTAAAGACTATAACTAATAAGCTAATAATAGAAGCTTTTCTAATAAGATAAGAGTCTCTATTCTTCTAGATTATATTAGTAATAAGAATTACTCTATTACTTATATTATTAAGCTTTTTACTAGTTATAAAAAAAAGAACTAAGCTAAGCTTAAGATAAATATAAAGAAATACTAAGTAGATAAAAATACTACTATTAAGATAGATAAGCACTTATACTTATAAGCTTTTATCTATAAGTATATAAATAATCTATCTAGTTTTACTAAGTATTATACTTACTTTTATATAATAGTAAAAGCTTATATTACTAATAAGTAAGTTCTATAAAAGAAACTTAGCTTTCTCTTCTACTATAGACTTCTAAAGTATAATAAGTAGATAGTTACTTTTATAATACTTAATACTTCTAAAAGTAATAATTAGGCTAAGTACTATATAGATAAGATTTATATTTTTTTTAAGAAATACTATAAAAAGAATAATACTATTAATAATATATATACTTAGAAATATAGTAGTTTAGATACTAAGATAAGATATATTATACTTACTAATAAGCGTACTACTTTTAACCTAGAGAAGATAAAGAGCATTATTACTAATCTTAAGAAGTAATAAAAGAATTAAGAATCTCTACTTTCTTCTAATATAGATTCTAAAGTAGAATAACTTATAACTTTACTAAATAAACTAAAGCTTAATATAAATATAGTTTATTTCTTTATAGTCTATTTATTAGTTACTCTAATTTTTAAAAATCTCTATAATACTTTATACTTTATAAACTATATAACTAAGAAAAAGCTTTCTATTAAGAAAAATAATAGTTCTTTTATTACTAAAGTACTTAGAAATATAGCTTCTAAAAGAGAAACTATTTAGTATAAAAAAGCTAAGTATACTAATACTTACTATATATATAATAAGAAGAGTTATAAAATTACTAATTATAAACTTTATAATAACTTTTATAACTTAGATTAGATTAGTTACTATTAGAATAGTAAGTGTAAGTAAGAAATATACTATTTTAGCCTACTCTATAATTACCTTAACTAAATCTCTAGTACTTTTCTATTAACTTATAAGCTTAAATAGCTTAGATTTAAAATTAAAAAGTATTTTAATATTACTAATAATATAATAAAATAGTCTACGTCTAGTATTCTTTCTAAAAAGTTTTAGAGAAACTTTTACTCTAAGTATATTCTTAAGTAATTAAACTTAGCTAATATAATTACTTACTTAGACTATTATATTAGTTATAAAAATACTTAATAGTAGTTTATCTAGTTTTAGAAAGATATTAAGTACTCTAAGAAAGTCTAGCTACTTAATAATATTAATTCTAATAGTATTATTATTAGTAGTAAGAATACTACGTTTCTTTATAGCGCTAAAGATAATACTATTAGATACTTAAATAAAAGTATTTTTAGTAACTTTAATTAAGTTTATAATAGCTATATTAAAAAGAGAAATAGACTCTCTAAGTAATTATAAAGCTCTTAGCTATTACCTAAAAAGAATATAATTAGATAGATTTCTAACTTATAGATATAGGGTTAGGGTTAGGGTTAGGGTTAGGGTTAGGGTTAGGGTTAGGGTTAGGGTTAGGGTTAGGG